ATATAAACAAAGCTGCTTTCTTGGGAAGTGCCTTTCAGATATACTTGTTTATAGCCTGGGAAGAGTTGTACTGAGTTTGTATTCTTTCTGCAGATGACATACCTGGCTGCCAGTGGCCTTCCACTCTTCGTTTAGTATTTTACACCTGTGAAAATGGGGGTGAAAAGAAATGTTGCATCTGTGAGCATTACAGCGGTCCTTCTCTCATGAAGTGTAGTGTGCTCTAAAGGTAATAGCAACAGTCCAGCGCCTGAAACAGAGAAGAAACAAGTCTTGGTCCATTTCTTCAAGGAAGTGCTGTGGAAGAAGGAGTGAAATTTGGTGGCTTTATCCTTTAGATTAACTCTTACGCACTTAGTTGAGATGGCATTAGAGTGGGAGAAGATTTTCAGCTATTTCAGAAGGAGTGCCACTCCCCTTCCTGCCCCCAGCCTCTCGGTAACTGTATTCCAGAGGCTCCCCTATGTAGTCTGGTATCAGAGGAACAGACGTAGAGGCACTGAAAACAAGCAAGCATATGGAGTTACACTTGTGATCATAATTCGTATGCCTGCATTAAACTCTCTTATACTGTAATGGAGTCATCTCAGCCTGCAGTATAATTCTGCATGTTCATGTGCAGAGATGAGATGTCAGTTGCACTTTTAATACTTTGTCTTACAGGTACTGATCTCTGGACATTTGTCTGCTTTTAGCCTAGTTAAACTTGGATGTTTGGGGAGACTCCAGTAGTCTTCAGACGTACAGCATCAATTTGACCAACCTACATTAAACTAATTGGCTTTTTATATTTTTCTTGAAATCGTTGCTCAAAACTTGACATCAGTTTTTATAATACTTGGATAAACAGTCAATATTTGTGTATTATATATGTGTGTAAACAAGCACCACTCATATTAGTAGAAATATGGCCTAAATCATCGGTTTATGCAACCAGCTTTTCTGACTCTGTTTGCACCAGTACAAGGATGAATGTCATTTAGGTGATCTAGTAGATAAGAAAGAGATTTAGATTTCTCTAGCTTTTTCACACCAAACAACGTTTCTGCAGTATTTCCTTGAAGTTCACTTTTATGGCTGTTGTGGATATAGTCAATTAATGCGTATAGTAAAAGACAGTGTTGCACTTTTCTGTTTCCCTCATCCAGGTAAATGTTTACTCTGTACAGTATGTGTGCTATGTGAGGAATTAAGATGGTTTATAGTCAGGACACTGATTTGCAGATTTTCTTATCTCAGGCATTTCTTTTAAGTACCTTGCATGCTCCTATCAGGTTCTGCCCTGAATTGAAGGGAAAGCAAGATTTGTTTAGACTTGTTTCAGTGGCCTTCCTCCTTTTTGCATTAGAAAGATTTCTGTGTAAAAAGGTACATTAGTGCGATCTTAGCTCTTTGAAGGTATGGAATTGTTTAATAACTTTCTTGTGGTTTGGTTTTTTTTGATTGGTTATTTTTTGTTGTATTTTGTTGTTGTTTGCAGGGTTTTTTTTGTTTGTTTGGGGTTTTGTTTGTTTTTTATTTTCTCTTGCCCCCCCTCCCCCCCATCTTTCGAAGTGCATCGGCTCTCGAGACAGTAATTAGATATTGTTTCATCTGTGATTGTCTTATTGGATTCCAGTTGAGTAATGTGTGTTGAGGTCAATGGGACTGTTCAGGTGCAAGAAGCTGTTCAGATGCTCAGGCATTTGTAGTATCAGTGCATGGCCTTTTCTGTTGTAGAAAGTAGTGCTATTGACCCTCGTTTATGTGAATAGGTGTTGACTTTTTTTTACTAATCCAGAATAATAAAATATAATCCTCGTTGCAGGTTGACTGGTTATTTAATGTACCTGTAAAGAATAGGATGAAACTGGTGCCGTATAAAGCTCTTCAGTAATAGCATCCTTATTATTCTTCATCCAAATGCATCTATTTAACTACATCATTTAGTATTTGTGTCCAGTATCATTAAATTGAATGTAGTTCAGATTCCAGTCACTTTAGAAACCAGTTACTCTGGTGCTGTTTGTAAGCTATTAGAAAATAATTTACAGTTTACAGTTGCTTTACATTAGTGTCTCTGTGGTGTGGACGAACTCACACGTGAAAACTACAGCTGCACAGGTGTCATGGTTTGACCCCAGACAGCAACTAAGCACTACTCACTCCCCCACCCGTAGGACTGGGGAGAGAATTGGAAGGGTAAAAGCCAGAAAACTCATGTGTTGATATAAAGACAATTTAATAGGGAAAGCAAAAGCTGCACGCACAAGCAAAGCAAAACAAAGAACTAATTCACTGCTTCCCCTGGGCAGGCCCAGGAGAAGTTGACTGTTCAGCCATCCCTAGGAGAGCAGGGCCCCATCATGTGTAACTTGGGAGGACAATTGCCGTTGCTCCAGATGTGCCCCCTTCATCCTTCTTCCCCCTACTTTATATGCTGACGTTGTATGGTCAGTTTGGGTCACTTGTTCCCATCCGTGTCTCCTCCCAGCCACCCATGTACCTCAAACTTCCTTAACAGCATGGCAGTATAAAAAGCACAAAAGGCCTTGGGTCTGCATAAGCCCTGCTCAGCAATAACAGAAACATCTCTATATTATCAACCCTTTGTTTAGCACAAATCCAAAACATAGCCCCATACTTACCACTGTGAAGAAAGCTAATGCTATCCCAGCCAAAACGAGCACAACAGGTAGCTAAACCTTGTGCTGCTCTGTGCAACTAAACTGCCTTTCAACCTCAGTTCTGTCCTTTTCTCCTCGTGAGCAGAAGAGTGAGAAGACTGGCTCATGCGCATTCATTCCTTTCCATCAGGTTTTTACAGTCAGTGATAATATACCCCTGAGCCTTCTCTTCTCAAGTCTGAACGGTCACAGCTCTCTCAGCCCCTGCTTATATAAAAGATGTTCCAGTCCCAGTGACGGTTCAGGCATCTTTGAGACCTTGCACTGGACTTGCTCAAGCAAGTCCCTATCTCTCTTGTACGGAGGAGCACATAAATGTGCACAGAGCTTCATATATGGCCTCATTAATGCTAAGCAGAGAGGAAGGATCACCTCCCTAGACCTGCTGGCAACACTTTGTGAGGCAGTCCAGGATACTGTTGATCACCTTTGCCATGGGGTTGTATTGCTGACTCATGGTCAGCTTACTGTCCCTGAGGACCCCCAGGTCCTTCTCCATAGAGCTGTCTCCAGCCAGCTGGTCCCCAACATGTGCTGGTGCCTGGGATTTCACCTTGTTGAACTTAAGATTTCTCTTGGCCCATTTCTCCCACTTGTAAATGGCAGCTCAACCATCTGGTTTGTCAAGTCACTCCTTGCAGTTTTCTGTTGTCTGCAAACTTGCTGATGAAACTTTATCCCATCATCCAGGTTGTTAATGAAGGTGTTGAAGTGTATTGGTCCTGGTGTTAGCCCCTGGGGTATCATGCTAGTGACTTGCCTTCTAGTGGACTTGGTGCAGCTGATTGTAAGCCTCTAGGCCTAGACGTTCAGCCAGTTTTTAGTAGATCTCACTGTCCACTCGCCTAACCCTTGCTTTCTCAGAGTGTTTATGAGCGTGTTATGAAAGACCATGATAAAAGCCTTATTGAAATCAAGATAAAGAACATCCGCTGCTCTTCCCTTAATCACTAAGCCAGTCAGTTTATTGAAGAAGGTTATCTCAGTGGATAAGCATGATTTCGTCTTCATAAATCCACCCTGACAACTCTCAATCATCTTCTGTTCTTCCATATGTTTGGAATTTGTTTCCAGAGACTGAGGTTAGGCTAACCACGTCTGCAGTTCCCTGGATCATACTTCATACCTTTCTTGAAGGTATGAGTGATGCTTTCTCTCTTCCAGTCTTTAGGAATCTCTCCCAATTGTTGAGACCTTTTAAAGATTATTGAGAGTGGCCTGGAAGTGGTATCAGCCAGCTCCCTCAGCTCTTGTGTGTACAGCCTGTCAGACTCCAATAGACTTAAATATTTCCAGTTTGTTTTAGTGCTCCTTTGTTTAGTCCTCCTCCACTGAAGGTACATTTTGATCCAGATTTTTCCTGTGGTCTCGAGGGTTTGAGGTTCCCAAAGGCCTGTCTTACTGGTAAAGACTGATATGAAGAAGGCGGTGAGTACCTCATTGTGTTCTGTGCCATCATGCACCAGGTCCCCTGCCTCATTCAGCAAGTGGGCTGAATGGGCAGGCTGAATTAATACCCGAATGTTGTGAGATTCTCCAAACCTTGCTGCTGCTCCCTCGTTCCATCTCCCCCTTCCCTCTGCAGTGGGCTGGAGAGGAGAATTAGAGTCAGAAAAGGTGAAGATTGTAGGTTTAGATAAAAAAAATTTACTGGAAACAGCCATAAGAAAATGAACAGTAACAGCAACAATATTAATAACAAAAACGTACAAAAGAGAGAACGAGTCACGTGCAAAAATGCTTACTGGGGAGCTTTACCTGACCCAACTGCAGCCATGCCACCCTCACTGCTCCCTTTGGCTTGGAACTGGTGCCGTCCCACTGCTCCTTCCACCATGCTTACTCAACCGGAAGGAACCCCTTCTCCCTGGAAGAGACTCCCTTCCCCCCCACCCTTAGCAATGACCTGAGGTGGTATAGAATAACCTCCAGCTCTTAGCCATGTCTCCTTCTGGCTACTGCAAAAATGAACCCTGTCCTGGGCCAGAACCAGGATACTCAATTTTCTGTCGCTCTGCTGTTTAAGTGCAGGTAGTGTATATAGTCACACAGGATGCTTGACTAGATGTACCTGATTAACACTGTGTACTGTGGAATGCAAAACATCTTGGAACAGGTGGGTCCGTTCTCATCTGGGGAATGTATACTGGAGAACTGATCAAACAGTTTGTGTTGCAATTCTGTAATCTTTATTCCATATGCCACTTGACCTGCTGGATGTTTTCAGTGATCAACATAATTTTGTGAAATAACTTGTTAGTGCTCAAAGAAACAAAAACTCTTCAAATGCGTGTTGTTTTTAAATTTGCTTTTACTTTGTTTTCTTTGCCACAGAATCTCAAAGTTACGTGGAAGCCATTAACCACTCTGTGGTGATGCCTGACAGCACTGTGGGCACTAATCCTTTGCTGAGGGCCGACATGCAGATGGATCTCCCCTTTCAACCCTGTTTTGCATCTTCTTGTGCTGTTTCAAGTAACAGTCCTATCCCAGGGGCAGAAAGGTAGGAAAAGATTCCCCTACTTTTTTATTTAGTTCTTATAACTATAGTTCCCAGCCAAGACATTATGATTGCGTCTTCATTGCAGAGCATTTGTCTAGGGACTTTGAGTTTGGTTGTGACATTTAATGTAGATGTTGTCCACCAGCTGGACAGATATTGTTTATTATGTCAGGGACACAATTAGCTTTGAAGATACAGAGAAGACAAAAATAAATAGGATTTTATAACTCAGTTATGTTACATGCTAGCACAAACTCATATATGTTTTTCTGTGTGCTTAATCAACATCTCTTATGGTTTACTGAAAACTGTTTCATAAAATTTCACATTGGAATATGAGAGAAAGGGTGCACTCTTCTTGCTGCAATCCATGCGTTTTTAGTCAGTAAAATGTCAGTGGGTTTGTTTTGGTAGTGTATAGCTGACTCCCTTTCTACTGCTCAGCAGGTTTAGAAATGTTATTATTTTATAATTGTATTGTGGTAAACTTGTAGGGCTCTGGACCAGAGCTTGAATAGTATAAATTTACCAAGTAGTGCTTGTCCAGAGGAGCTTACAGAATAAGCTGAGAAATGCCAAAAAGCAGCAAACAAACAAAGAGTCCCTGGCTACTGTTTGAAGGTTCAGAGCACCATAAAAATAATCATAAGTCATTAGTTATGCCCTATATTTACTTAATAGGCAAGGTGGCATAACCTGATGAGGTTACCTTCTCTGTCACTATGCGATAACATTCCTTTATGGCTAATTATCCTGTTCTTGTTCTTGGCTATTTGATTACTTTTTCTCATTAAGTATTTGATTGGTTGTCAGACTCTCAGTGAGTACTTCAAGTATGTTGTTACCTATTTATCTTTTATTTATCTTCCAATATAATTGGTTCAATTTTCTATCAGTACTGAGACTGTGAAAGAATGTTTTGGTTTTGATTACGAATGTGAATCATAAGACTGAACAAAGTATGTTGCTGTTTGCTGCAGAGGATGCAATGAAACAAATAAGTGGATACATATTAAAAGCTTTCAGGCAACGCAGTTATCAAGTTTACATACTTGCTTCAGACTTTATCGAGAAAATTTTGTTCCCTTCTTTCAAAGTATTTTTTCTGTCATTTTTCATTTCATCTAGCAGATAGCTACAGCTGTAGAGTTTTTTCTTCTTGCAGTGATGTCTTTTTCCATTTGCTTCCCTTCCATTTCTTTATGGTCCTTCTACTTTGAGCCGTTCAAATCTACTGGCATCCATGCCCACAGTTCCCTTTTAATTAAATATCCTTTCCTTTTTAATATATATCTTACGTCAACTCTTTCCCCCTTGCATTTCATGATGAGTTTACTCCCTCTAGATTTTATATTAGTAATATTTTCCAGCTACAGTCTAAGGACATACATTTTTAGAAGCAGGGAGACAAACTTTTATCAGATGATTTCATCAGAAGCTTAGTTTCTCTTGTTTAGAAGGAATTTTTGTTTATTTTTCACTTGAATAGGTAGAATTGCTACGCAGTAGAAAAATCTAATGTTTACTGTTGAAATATTTAATTCTAATTCTATAAATCAAAATTGTTCCATTGTCAAATAAATCAACAGCTGGACCTACCTCTTTTTTAAAATATAAATTGTATTAAAAGCAACCTGGTCTGCAAGATGGACCTTGTGAACTCTGTTTTTATAATAGTTATTAATTTATTGTTTGATGGTGCACAGCTACCTCCTTAGCCCATTTTTTCTTTTTTTCTTTTTTTTTTTTTTTTTTTTGTGAGCAAAAGACACTCTGCATGCAGGAACTGATTTGAGCATGTCAGGTTCCTTCTATAAACCTCTACCTTTGATGGCAGCTTTGGCATAAGAAATTCTTGCCTCCTACTGCTCTTTTCCAGGTAGAACTTTAGCTCACCAAGACCACTGTATGTGAAGCAATGCTGTGAACAGCTTCACTAAACTCATTCATATTAAAAGTAACCCTCTCAAACAGGGAGAAGGAGAAGTATCTTCAACTGTCATTGATTTGATGGACTGTTCTATGGTGCAAACTCAGAAACTATCCCATCAACATGGTTAGGTGGAGATAAGTAGAACATAGTAACCTACACTGAAGAAATGAATGTCAGGGTGAGAATGGAATCCCTTGATCCGGCTGCATTATCTGGTCCACCAAATTTTCAAAGAGCACTCTGAGGTATTGTCCTGGGTGTGGTGTTTCATTGCTTTCAATGATTGCTGAAGTATGGGTTGTACAGTGACCTTTTAAAGGAATGACTTGGCTGTTGTTTTATTTTTATGTTCATTTTTTGGCTTTTTATTTTTTTGACAGCTCTCCTGCAACAGAACGTCTTTGGCTTGAAAGCAACCCTAAAGCTTCCCTATCACCTCAGTTTTCAATGGGAAACACCAGGCAGCCAGGAGGTTACCTTGTGCCGTCTGAATTTTCAAATGCTATGCAAGATGTCTCTCTCTTGTCTCATTTCCAAACTCCAGGACTGCAAGTGGTCACCCTGAGCAACCTGGAGAATTCACCAGCAGAACCACAGCAAGAACATGCTATCAGTAGCAGTGCCCGTGCCTACCTGAGCTACAGTGGGGCTGTCAGGGGCAGTAGCTCTCCTGGAGAGGAGACACAAGCTACTTGCATAGCCAATGCTAGCACCTCTCCTAAAACCCTGAGCTCATCAGTGGCAAGTGCTGAGGAGAGTGGCTTTTTGACACAAAACTTTATTAGAGTGACCTCTGGACACAATAACCAGAACAGTACAGTTCAGCAGCACCATGGAGGGAACGTACGTGCTCAACCGCCTCTTCCAGAGAAGAAGAGGTCCTCTGAAGGAGAATGTTTCTTTGCCTCCGTGTCACCTTCTTCAAGTGGCTTCTCTAGCCCTCACAGTGGAAGCACAATCAGCATTCCCTTCCCAAACATCCTCCCAGATTTCTCAAAGATGTTAAGCCCTTCCCCAGTGCCAGGTATGTTCTGCATCAGAGAAATGCAAAATACATTAGGTTTTATATGAGTTTATAAAAAGCATTTAGGAGATTTTAAAAGTGGAAGAGAGAAAGAAAAAAATAGAGGGGAAAAAAAGCGGTGGAATGAAAATGGCACAGAGGACTTGAATGTTTGCAGTAAGTAGTACCAGTTCACTGTCTTTGGATGTATTATTCAGAAAACAAGGATGCAGAGTTCTTCCTGCACTTCCTAGATTATCTGCGAAGAGCAGCCTGCCTATTCAACTGCCAAACTACAAGTGAGTAACGTGGAGTCCAATTTCTTTTAAAAAGGGCTGGCTTCTCTCTGCACCCTTTAGACCTGTGCCACTACTAGTTAAAAATGTAGATGTGTGTTCACTGGACCCTGTTGAGAAGTGTGTATTTAATACAGTTTTATAAGAGTTTTTAATATTTTGTAGATTTTGCAAAATGAAGCTTCAAACATGCTTTCAGAATCTTAGTGCAGTGTATCTTATGTGTTTTCTGGTTCTAAAACAGCTCAGTGTCTTTAAATTGTCCTAATGATGAGATTTTTGAGTAATTAGGGTGATTAGATGTTAGAAAGAAAAGTAAAAATGCTTTTATATTTAAAAGATATCTTGACATTTTCCCCTTTTATTTTACAGAAAACACAATTGATAAACATGTGACCGTAAAATTTGTTCAGGACACATCCAAGTTCTGGTATAAACCCAATATTTCACGAGAACAAGGTATATCAACTGATCTATATTCTGGTATATCCATTCACAGAAAAGCTAGTTGATGAAATCTTGTTAAGTTTTTTTGATACATCCCTGATGTTTAAAAGAAATATTAAACCTAGAAGGGCCACAGACAACCTCACTTAATTTCTTTGGTTGAAAGGCTTCTGAATTTGAGTGTGAAAGGGCAGTCAAATAGTCCTTAAAAAATATCCAGTTAATCAGATTATCAGTTAATCAAATTATTAGCCTAACTGAGTGAACTATGAAGTAATTCAGATCTACCTGTGGTAGCTGCTGCAAATATCCTTTACTAAGAAGCTCCAGATTTTGGAATGGCAGATAAGCATGAAGCAATACCAAAGAACTGTCTGCTCTCAGAAACCTTTTGGACAGTGAAAGAGCAAAATATTCAGTTACCTCCCTTCCTTTGCTTTAAAACTACTAAGGGAGTGAGACTGCTTTGCAGAGACAGAAACTTGGTGGTGGATGAAAACAAATCTGTTCTGCCTGTTGAAGCTGAATAGGAAGTGAAAAACAGCGCTGTCTAGTTACGGTGGGAATTACAGAGAGCTATGCAGTCTGTAACACTTTTAACAAGCTGACAAAATCTAAACAGAAATCATCTTGCTCTTGCACTGGTTGTAGGAATCCTGGTGGGACCTTAGCACCTTTCTCAGTTTAAAAATCAGTAGGGATCTGTACTTCAGGCTTCTTTGAAAGAAGTATCTGTGAAATTTGGATGAGATGTTTCCACTTGGGTCCCCCAAATATGCTTGACTGTATTCTGTTCTACAGCAATTAGGACAGAGAAAAGCATCTTATTTCCTTTAAACCTGTATTAAATATAGATTTGCACTTCTGTACGTTTTGAGTCTGTGCATTGTACTTGAACTGTTTTTCTCTCTCTCTTTCCTGGAACTCCTTGCAGCCATTGCTGTTCTCAAGGACAAGGAACCTGGGTCGTTCATTGTTCGAGACAGTCATTCTTTCCGGGGAGCCTATGGGCTAGCAATGAAAGTTGCAACACCACCTCCTTCTGTGCTGCAGTTAAAGAAAGGTACTTAAGGGCTTTTATATATTATTAAACAAACCATACATAGTAGGAAGTCCTTGTTACTGGGTAATAATCTGTTGGAATCTTCCTCTCATCTCATAAGTGCAATTGAATTGCAGGCTACATTTGGTACCTTGTTGAATGAGACATATATAGTTTCACCATGATGTGTAAATCTATTCATTGTGGCTGTGCATGCGTTGTACCTTCTCAACCTAATAGAAAATTATTATCATCTCAGCAATTAATCCTCCCTAGCAATCAGAAGTCTGCATTTGATTCACAGACCACCATGTCAAGCTTTCGCTTCGCTGGAGGGTTGAATATTTTTGACCCCAAAATATTCAGTTCAGTTAAGTAGAACTGAAACTCAGTAGGTGGTTCCCTAAGGAAAGGTGGTAATTGTTTAAAAGAAGTGGTGAAATACACCCACTCTCCTGGTTTCAGTGCCTCCATGTTCCTGATGGTTGTGAAAGGTAAAATGAGAAGAACGTACAGAAATCATTAATCGATGTATGGAAACTCAGCCTCCAATATCTGTAGTGTTCTTGGTTCCATTTGTGCTACTGCAGGGGTAGTGGGGTTATTTTTATTGCTACTGTTTTTCTTTTACAAAGCTCATTGTGTTTCATTAGTACATGCTATCTGGTGAGCCAAGCAACAGAGATCATCGGAAAGCAATGATTCTTAGGGTTGTTGTTATGGAAGCGTGGTTTTGTCTGTTTTGGTTGGTTGGTTGGCTGTTCGTTTGGTTTTTTTGGGTTTGGGTTTGCTTTCTCTGGGGCTAGGTTAGCAGTGCACCTCTATTACAAATTCTGTTTCAATCTGGTATCTTGAAACAACTTTTAATAACAATTTGCCATGTAGTCCTTCTTTTTATTGCCAGTAAACATCAGCAGAACCACTTCCATGTCACAAAGACAACAGAGGGTGGTGATAGTTGCAATAAGTACAGAAAGACATGAAAGTTCAAACCCTGCTAGCCTTTAAGAGTTTATGTTGGTAGTACCACAGGCAAGTAGTAGTAAGACTGTAGCATTCTTCCACTTCTTACTTTGTGATACTTAGCCTTTTTGATATCCATTGTTTCATCCCAGAAGGCACAAATTTGTTCCGTTTCCTGCAGGGTTTCTTGTTCCAGGCTTCCCCTTCCCATATACCTTGTAGTCATTTATTTTTAATTTTGCGAGAGCATAATGGCAAACAGTAAACTGTTTGAAAGAGCCGTCTTTACAATATTTGCTTGTATAGAAGTTTCTGCTGTCCGTATTAATATGTGCATCTGTATTAGCCTGAAAATCAACCCTTGATGTGTTTCCTGCTAGATCGGAGTCAAAGGGAGTATTCGCATTTGTTGCTCTTTTGTTAAGGTTTGAATGATTGCATAGCTTTGTCCCATTGCTGTGAAGCAGCCCTGTAATTATTTGGAGTGGGATTCAGTTTGTAGTTAGGTGTGAAATATTGTGAATGCATCTTTCAAGAAATAATTAAGTTGCCTTAATTATACGTCTACATATATATGTTTATGTTTAAAAGAATGCTAAAACTCAGGGGAATTTTTCAATATCTCTTGGACTTTGAATCTCCTCGTTATGTCCAACTATTTTGGTTTGTTCTAGATTCCAGAGATAAAAACTGTCTTTACAAATCTAGTGAAACCTGAGTGTTTCATGTAATATGTTTGTTTTCAGGAGCAGAGACTTAGCATAAAACTGCAAATATTTTGAAATTTAAAAATTCACTGAAAGACTTGGCATCATTATCTTCATGTAGCTAAATCTTCTGTTGTTTTAATCTGGAAAAGTTGTGCAAACAGAACTGTCACTGGAAATTGGAGTATTTCTTTGTACTTCTGCTTTCTGGTCACATTGGTTACGAGTTCTTTTAATGGGCAAGTGCATCAAAATTTCTAACCATTCATTTTCCAAATTTCTGTTCCCGTCTGTAGTTGTGACCATGCTTGGAAATTTTGGTCACCAGTGTATATTTGGATGTCAATCACTTATGAATATAAAACCGTTTCCTCTGGTTGTTTAAAGTGAGCTAGTTGCTTATTTATTTGTTGCAAAATGACCTTTTTACTACAGCTTGTAATTTTGCAGCAAAGTAGATCTAATGTATTCTTTGCGTGCTGCATATAAAACATTTGGTCATAATATGGACAAAGTGCTTCATAATGACTTGCTAATTTGTGAGAATTGTCAGTTCATTGCTTCTTTTCATGAGCTTTCTTTTTTAACACAGTTGGAGATTTGTCAAATGAACTTGTGAGGCATTTTCTGATTGAATGTACTCAGAAGGGGGTACGCTTGAAAGGATGCCCAAATGAACCATATTTTGGTAAGTACTGTGCATCACAGGGACAGAGAAAATGGAAACAGTTTGCATTTGCCAGTGCTGACTTGGGTGAAGTGCGAACAAGAGAATACTTAGCTCGAGTCCTGATGACTTCTGTAGGAACCCATTGTAAGGTTACAGGAGCCTTGTACACATTTACCTTAAGTAGATGTACAGGGTGCTCTAGCACAGATGCACATGACCAAGCTTCAAGCAGTCAAGCTTGTCTACCACTGCCAATGTCGCATCAGATAGCTGAGCTATATCGCTGTTGTGGTCCTTATTGATTCAGGACCTTTGCCCTGTTTTGTCCTGTGTTATATATGTGCTGTATATAAGCTGGCTAAAATGAGACCAGAATGATACATTCACAAAGTACATTATGCTGTGTCAGCCTACCCAATGTAATAATATGATAACTGTAATGATCAACAGCCAAACACCTACCTAGCTGCTCACTCATTTGCTTTCCTCAGTGGGGTGGGAGGGTAAGATGAGAAAGCTTGTGGGTGGAGATGAAAACAGGGAGATGCTAACCAGTTACTGAGCTGAAGAAACTCAACTTGGGGAAAATTAAAGTTTTTCCAGTTAAAATCAATATTCACGTAGCGAGAGTATGAGGAATACATTCAGTGCAGGTAGCTTGGTGTGCAGCTGCAGTGTGAGCTGCAGGTTGAGTGTAAGTGGTGAAAGCCCCAGTCAAGATGCCATGACTTGCCAACCCTTTGAATAACAAAGGGCCTGTGGACCTGTGGCTCCAGGGGACAGGACACTGAGAGACACAGCAGGAGCCGATGACCTCCAGACTTTCCCCTGCTTAGAGTGTAAGGATATAAAAGCCCATGGGTTCCTTCGTTTGGGGTCCCTCCTGAAGGCACACAGCTTGAGTTTTTAGTTTCTTATTTAGTTACTGCACCAATATTAAATTATTTTAAGTGTTGGGATGTGTGAGACTTTGCTATGGGAAACCTGGGTTGATCCAGTAAGGAAACCTGGTCTGACCATGAGTGTGGAGTGTGTAGTTCCTGTGAAGGGGCCTCAGTCCCAGCTCACATGGTGTGACAGTGGGAGCCAGAGTGGCTCCTAGATGATTGGTCAAGGAAGTTTCCTTCACATGAGAAACAAAGACTAGTATGAAAATAGCATTTATCCTTCCCCTTTTCCAAACTCAATTTCACTGCTTCCCCAAAGACTTCTCATGCCCACTACAGGGGGATGGGTGGCATATGGTCTTTACAAAACAGTTCCTCTGCTTCTTCATCCCTCTCCTAACTTTTCCCTGCTGAAATGTGGGCTTTCCCCAGGGAAAAAGTCCACAAAGTAGGTGGACAGGCACTATCACACACTTTTGTGGGAAACACAAAATATAAAGTGAAGGAGTAATAGTTTGGAATAACTGGTCTTTGCATTTCTGTAAGAATTGGGTCATCTTTCCATTTCGAAGAAACTTTTGATGAACTGTAAAAATGAGGTTGGTTTTGGTTGAGCTGGGATTTTTCTCCAGCACATAGTTATAATGTTTGATGCTTGTTTGTAAATGGTATTGAAGGATGGCTTTTTGTACAAACAGATTGATGAATATTGCGCTTTCCTCTCACTGCTTAGAGTATAGTTTCACATGCTAATTTCAAGGATTATTAATGTTTAATTATTTTAATTAAACCAAGTACAAATGACAAAAGTGACTTTGAATAAAAAAGAATAATTTAATAGAGAATGCTATGTACCTCACTGCTGCACTGAATGAAAGGGGATTTACCCAAGACCGTCTTTTACACTTTCAGAAGTACAGAATACAGGTATGTGTATTAAACAGAACACTAGACAGTGAAGGTGGCTAAGAGGTAGAACTCCTCGGTCTTTCTCTGCCTCATAATAGAATAGTGACCTCTTGTGTTCTTATCATCTTAATAAGATTTTACTGCATTTAATGTAGCAGAAGTTAAGAGCATTGAAAAGAATCTACTGACTGTATTTTGGCATTTTTTTGCTTTCTCCATTTGAAGTAAAGACATTTAGGTTAGGATTTAAGCAGTGCATTTAAGCAGGGAAAGGGGGCATATGATTGTGATTAATGAGTTCAAGATCATCCAACTAGGATGGGAAGCATGAATACACTAAAGTTGACCCAAGAAGATCTTGGGTCCTTCTTGGTCTCTTGGTACCAGGAGATTTTTTTTTTTTAAAGGAAGCAGAAGGGGCCCTTGGTCTATAAAATACTTGAAAGCAAACATAACTTGTGCATTCTTTTTGTCCACCAAGTTAACTGTGCATGTGTTGTTGCTTTTCTGACCACAGGGAGTTTGACAGCTCTGGTGTATCAGCATTCCATCACTCCACTGGCATTGCCCTGCAAGCTCCTCATCCCAGACAGAGGTATGCTTGTTAAAGTACAGAAGAGATATACCCAGGCAAACTCTGCTTTAAAGTCAGTGTCTGAAGGCAGGTGAATGTGTCACAAGTCGAGAGCTAAGCAAAAATGCTCAGGGAAGCAAACTGTGTTTTAAGAGTTGTTCTTCAGTACTGGTGATGACCCTAATCCAAGGTGTAGTTGTGAACACACTAGTACTGTGATATTCCAGTCATAAAAATCTATGCATCATGGAAATCCACACAGTAATCTAGCATGTAGGAAGACAAATGTACTTAGACATTATATTATGCTCATGCATGGTTAGATTTAGACACAGCTGTCTGATATTCTCCCACGTTAAGTTAACCTCAGACGCATTACTAAGATGTTAAATGTTCAAGTGGTTTTTGACTGAACTTTTTAAACTTTTGTTAAAGACTGTATGTCAGTGTTCAAAAATAGCATTTGATTAATGCAAATACATTAATGAAACCATTTTAGCACAAAAATATGCTATGGTAGATGTGACAAGAGATCTCTTTATGTGGCAAAACAGTGTGGCAGGTGGGCTTGTTCTCCTTACCCTCCTCACCTAAAATGGAAAACTACTCCTCTCTGCCAGAGGTACAGGACTGAAACTTTTGCCTTGCCCTGAGTAAACATACCACAGTGAAATTTTATTTTGTATTTAGTTTTTAATCCGATTTGATCTCATGTTTTAAGATGATCTTCTGTGGTTAATGACAGGATGCAATACCTGGAGTATTTAAAGCATCTGGATAACTCTTATAACTCTAGACATGTGGACAGTGTCACAAATTGTATTATGGCTCTCTTCCTCATTTGAATATATTCAAAGCTAGCTTACATCATGCTAAAGGAAGCAGTAAGTGACATGTTTTTACATGCATTTGTATAATTGAAACAACAGGCTGGTAGATGGTTTTTTCACTAATTTTAACAAACGATTGGGAGGCAAACATTCCACTGCTGTCTTAAAGGTTGAGATGTTTTTTAAGGAAGAAGAAAGGAGCATTATGTTGTCATCTTTTGAATCAAAATATAATTAATTGGCTTCATCATGGTAACACAAAGCCTTTATGTATAAATTAGTGTAAATTATACAATGAGATAGTTAAAATTTCACTATTTAAAATATTTTCAGGTTGTAGTGAGGGAATATAGCTATAAGTACTGTTTCAGTGTGGCATCGTGTGCCCCTGCAGCATATGCCTATGGAGTTATGTCTTTTATTGTCAGGAAATAAAGGTTTAGCATCTTGCAGTGCTCAAGGTAAAAAAACCTGATGCAGCACAAAACCCACATAAATGATTATAATTTCAGATACAAGATTGTTTCATGTTTCTGGCCAAGAGTTGTCCAGTAGATGAGATCACAGTTAAAAATGCTAAACTCATACTTGCCCATATGCTTTGATTTGTTGATTGAAGTCCATACAAGACACTGACAGTGTTTTCTGTTTGCAGATCCCTTGGAGGAGATAGCAGAAACTTCTCCACAAACTGCTGCAAACTCAGCTGCAGAGCTTCTCAAACAGGGTGCAGGTCTGTTAAACTTTTTCCTTGCATTTGACTGTCACCAAAGTTTGTATCTTACAGGCTGGGAAAAACTGAAACTTGGACTAGACTGAAGGATGTGTAAAGGGAGCAACTAAATTTAGAGTGCTGTGTAGAAGTGTAAAGGGTACAGTGTGGATATGTACCAGGTTCATTCTGTTTTCTGCAACCAACTCCTAAGTTCTACAGTCATGTGTTTGCTTTCCAGTCATGTATTTCATGAGACTGTGAGGTATACAGAGGTTTATTCAAGCACAGCAGCTTTTAAGCAGTGACATTGCTTTCATAACTGATGATCTTAGAGAAGATATTTTCAGCTTGTGGTTGCAGAGGTTCATGATCTATGTCTGAGGTCTGTAAAAGCCAACTAAGGAAGGTTAAAGTTAAGTTAAGTTCTCGTAATAGGGGTCAACAATACCACTGGAAAATGCTTACTGTTCTATCAATCTGAAAAAACCCCTAAAAATATTAAATAACAATGCGCTGTGCTTCACTTGGTGCTGTACTGCGTGTTGTTAGGAAATATCCTGTGTCTTTCCCATTGGATGCTGTTTTATGGATTCTCACGCATACTGCAGCACCCATTCTGGCAAGTTAATTTGTCTTACAATGAGATTATTGATGTGACAAAAGAACCCTGACCAGACTACCTCCAAACAAAGTGATGCTATGCATTGATACCATCTGTATCACTCTCAAATGGAGGTATTAGCAGCAGCTGTGTAGGGGCAGCTTTGCTTCTTAGCTGCTTTGTTTGTGTATGGCTGATCCAGAGAGCTAGTTAAACAACCTGTATGAAGAACTGTGGTGGCATCCTAACTCACTATATTGGATATTGCTCTGAGTACCTCTTAGTAACCTTAAGGCTGTCCTTAGAAGAAATGCAGCTACTGTGTTATTCCACTATACAGTGAGCATGCCCAGGGAATCCTGTCCATGCCCTCCCATGGTCCCTGGTTTTCAGGCTGCTTTGAATTCTCCCTAGGATCTATCTATCCACCCAATTAGTGCCGTTAGAGCATGGGAATACACTACATTTACCGCTCTCCTTTGAGTTTAGTCTACTACTGGACCACAAGTGAGTGTTGTGGCCAAGCGTGCCTTTCTAAGAATGCTGCCTCATGGCCCTCACCTATTTTAGAGCACTTCTGAAGGAGGCAGTTGCCAAGCTGAGCAGCTCTGGAGAGAATGTTGCTCCTTGCTTGTGCAGCAATCTGCTTTGACTTAAAAATGTGAAGTACTACTTCAAGTGCTGTAATTGAGCAGGCATGTGTGGCTGAGGCAACAGCAAGTCTTTGCGAGGCTGTGCTGGGAGTGAGCACATGTTGGCTCACTGGTTGGGGTTTCTTGTGGACAATATAGAAAAAATGTTGGTTTCTCCTTGCTCAGACAATGCTTTTCAAAGAAAAAGAAATAATTCTTCCTTCAACTGGGGCAGTAGTCATATGGGAGCTGTCATATCATGGATCATTTGGGGTGCTTAGTACATTTGGGTTTAACCTGTTTTGTTGTTACTTTCGTTTTTAAACAAGGGTTTGAAACCTGAATAGATAAATTAGCTAGGAGAGATTATCAGGTGTTTGGTTTTTATTTTGCCCTGATACATCATTTCCCACTGATTTTCCATGTTTCAGCAGTCCCTTTCCAGTCATAGAGACATTTAGCTGGTGGAGTTCAACACTGAAGTGCAAACCAGAAACTTGTACATTTTGTCCTTTCAAAGAAACTTCAAAGCAGATACACTTTCTCCCTGCCTTTCTTTACCCTACCCTTCTCCCACTCCACATGCAAAATATTACTTGTTCTCCTAGAATGATTATTTTTTATAGCTGTCTGAAAAACGTAATGAGCATTTCCAGTTATGATCTAAATGCAGAAGCCGACTAGAAATCCTTTGCTTCATGGAGAGTGACAGTTGAAGACTGGAAACCATACAGATAAGAGGCTTTTCCCTAGGACAGACATTGCTTTATTAAACTTCCTGTTCAGCAACAAAATCTTCTGCAGCAAATAAATCACAGTTCTTCATTTCTGTTTCCACTGATACAGTCAGGGGACTAAGCATTCTAAACAAATCACATTGCCAGTCTAGAAGCAGCATTGTTAAGCTGTTGCTGGTGGCACAAACGTGCTCCAAAATGCCATGTGTGAAAGACCGAGAGCAGCAACATTGCAGCACAGCTGCATTAAATACATTGTTAGACCATGCTTGATGTTCTTAAATGAGAAATTTTTCAGCCTTTCTCATTACCTTTCCTTTCCCATAATCTCCTTTTTAAGCTGGCAATCTTTTTTTTGTGTATGCTAGCATTCTTAGTTCTTTCTGTTCATGCTCATGTTCTCTCATGTCAGAGTGTCTTGTATTCTAGTGAATTTATTACCTCCGCTATTTCTTGATACTAAGTTCTCTCTGCCTTGCTTAAAGCCAGGATTTTGCTTTTAACTCTCTCTGATCTTTACATTGCTCTACTAAATTCGTTTTCCAGGATTTACCTGGCTTCAAGAGAAGCCATTAGATTAATTTGATCTTTGCTTTCATAATGTTGTCAAGCCAAGCTAAAGTGCTAAACAAATGAAATATTAGCATGGTAATTTGTACGTGTCAGCTGCCAGAGTTGTAAATTCTGTCCTGGATACCGACATAGATATTTTTACCAAACACAAAATCTGTTGGTACCAGTGTTTAGCTATGGATGTGTATAATCATTCTTGCTTGTTCTTAATCTGTTTGTAAATTTGACTTTATACCACAGTCCCAAAATGAGTGTGTGAATAATTCTATTAATACTATATAATAGTAAGTTGTACTGCACAATGTTAGATAGTGGTGTACTATGTAGTATTATACAGTACTATAGTACCACTGTATAATTCTATGTAAGATTAGTACATTTTTTCGTAGTGCTCACTGCAGATTTGATATTAAACCAGGTCAAAAAAGTAACTGTTTGGTAACCTTAGAAACCAATGAGCATCTATTTTATGGAGATATTTCAGAAGTTACTATTATCTCTGGGAGACAAATAGTTCTTTTAGAAGTAAGAACATGCTGAAGCAAAGAATAGGCCTAAAAATATATGTCAGTAATTTTTATCAGTGTTTTGTTTACCCTGAAATCCCTAAACATAAAAAACACTATGAAATTAATGAGAAGTGAGCTTTGCAACAAATCTCAATTCTTTCTGGGGTGAAAACTTTTTTGTCATGTCAAACAAGTGAATAGTTTCCTTTGAATATAGTTTAAATACTGTTTGAAACTAAAAAAATGTTTGAACGTATGCTGCGAATGTGTATTTTCTAATTGGCTGATGTATTTGAACTTAAAAGCAAAACACTCCCCTTCTTTCCCCTCGGGAAAGCCTTTGCTCCAGTAGTCCCTACAAGTGTACTCTCTGGTAATGTCTTGTATTTATTTAAATTTCAGGATCTATGGGTAATAGATAAATATAGTCATTGGCTTTAATATAGCGGTATTAAAAACAAAGGGAGAGCAAAATGCCTATGACCCTTCAAAGCCTTTCCCCTCTTTTGTTACAGCTTGTAATGTGTGGTACCTGAATTCAGTGGAGATGGAATCCCTCACAGGCTACCAGGCAGTACAGAAAGCCTTGAGCTTGACACTGATGCAAGATCCTTCTCCTGTCTCAACTGTTGTCCATTTCAAGGTGTCTGCACAGGGAATCACACTGACAGATAATCAAAGAAAGTAAGCAAAAGAGGGTTGGGAAGAGACTATCCAGCCCTGTCCTCAGCAAGTGTTGGCTGCTGTTGATTTAATGTTCCCAGTTACATTCTTAGAGGATACTAGGATTATCGAAAGAATGATGGTGACAGTGTAAGCTGGCTGCAGTACTGGAGCTATGGACATTAGTAATATTTAAACTATGTAGATTACTTCCACATGGCATATTTTACCTCCGGAAGGTCATTTTGCCATGGCATTTTTTTGTTGCTGTTTCTTATAAAAAAACAAAGTAATGGCTTTGCCAGCATTTGATATTGAACTTATTCAGTGAAATGATTTATCTTTACAATGTCTTTCACTAGTATCACTGAACAGAGTTGACTTAAGCAGATGCTGGGTATCTCCAGTATTTAAAACAGTGCTTTGGATATCCTGTAAAAAACTATGATTAAAAGTTAATTTATATTTACTTTGTACTAAATGCTATTTAGGCTACCGTGAACTCTTTTCATTTTGAAAAATTACAAAAACAAAAAAGGGACAATAGGAATTCATTATAGATTAAAAAAAAAGTGCCAGACTTCTTAATTCCATGGGGTGTGCAATCATTTGTAGCAGATCAAGGACAGGACATTAAACTGTAATGCCTAGAAGTGTGTATATTTTGAAATGTAACGTAATCAAATCATGCACAAGTTCCAAGAAGTTGCATTATGTACTAATATCGTATCTAAATGACCAGTTTTTAGAATACTCCTAATCCTTTTTCTTAGCTTGAGGATTAGTTTTCCTTTGGTTCAAAAAGTTCATGTTCCTTGGAGCAGTTCAGTTGGCTTTCAAGGTCACTCAGAAATACCAAAAAGTATATATTGTCATTGTTAAGACTAAAAAAATTTATTTTTCAGATCTGCTTATTGTTTAAAATTTTAAGTATCTTAAATGTTTCTGAAACTTGTTCTATTTCTTCCTATCCAGACTCTTTTTTCGGCGACATTATTCAGTCAATACTGTTATTTTCTGTGCCTTGGATCCACAGGACAGAAAGTAAGGAAGATAAGCAGTATTTTTAATATGCCGTTTATATTGTTGATACACCAAAAAAACCCCCAACCTCCCCCCAAAAAACAACCCCCTACAAAACACCACACAAAAACAAAAACCACCCAAAAAAACCAAACAAAAAACCACGCAAACCAAAACTAACATAGGTTTCATTTTTGTTTCTCCATTTATTTTTTTACTGCTTTCTTAATGGACAAGATGGATGAAAGATGGCCTTTCTGCAAAGTAAGTGGACACTTCTGTGAGTCTTTTAACTGAATGTTTTAGGCATATCATTAAAGTGATCAGTTTCTTGGTGTTCTAAATTACCTTTGTCAGAGATGTAGAAGGGAAAGCAGCTGTTGAGAGACAGAAGTCTCTCAGCCCACTGTAATTAGACTTTAGTTGCTTCATGTACACCTCTTCAAGTTGAGGCCTAATTGTGTGATGGGTGATGGTGGAATGTCTGATTGATGTAGGTTTCAGGTCTATGATTTGACTAAGGTTTCAGAACTTAAAACAGAACTATTTGCTATTCAGTTTTGTGTTCCACTTGTCCAGCAACAGTACACAAGCTTACTTGTCTCACTTAAAATGATATCTTTAGAAAAAAATCGCCCCCTGTGATACATAGATGAAAATACTCTTAGTAATATTAATGTGTGGCATAAATATATAATTACCAGTGGATTGCAAAGTGTTTTCTGTTGAAGGCAAACACTGTTGTCCCCTTTAACCAAAAGAAATAACCTAAACAGAGAGGTTCAGGCACTTGTTTCTGGAAAGTGAAGAAGAGTAAGAAAGAAATAGATGGTCTAAGTCCTTTTTACAATACTCTGTTCACTGAGATGTGTGTCCCTCAAAAACCTCTCTTTAGGCAATCCCTGATACACCACACCACACACTCCCCACGATAGGTAAGAGAACAGCAGTATTGAATCAGATTAAATGTATCCCAAGGGTCATCAGCACTTCTCTGACAACACACAGAGTAGAAGGAAGGGGGAAGTGTCCTTCCCTGATTCTCTCCTGAAATGTCTGGTCCATCTGGATCACTGTGTTTAGCAGTCACATGGGGCCTTGTCCATCAGAACAGAGGAAGTCTGGTTTGTGTGCTTCGTTTCTGCAGTATCGTTATGAAGAGAGGTGATGCCTGTCTGTCTCTTCTCTGACGTACTGTGATTGCTGCCCTTGCAGAGTGTTTGGGTTCATTGCCAGGAAGCAAGGCAGTGCCACAGACAACGTATGCCACCTCTTTGCAGAGCACGATCCAGAGCAACCTGCCAGTGCCATTGTGAACTTTGTATCAAAGGTCATGATTGGATCTCAGAAGAAGATCTGATGCCTTTCCATCCTTGATTCAGAGCTCTTCACTGACGTCACTGAAGGAAATCAGTGTGAGAAGGAGAAAGGCTATTCAGCAACAGTCTGAACCTTGTCATTCCCAGTAAGGAAAGCAGAGGATGGTCTGTGTACTTTGTTTGCAAGGGTTCAGGTTTTTATTTGAAGATGCCTCTGACTTCACAAAGCACTATTGCTTTGCTTTCATATCAGATGATAAAACAAAAGAAGCTGGGTGCCACCCAAACCCATGTAGCCCATACCTGAATGAAGCATAAACAAAAGACTTCTCCTGAAGGGTTCCTAATATATCTTCACACGCTGTTTCTCATCATTTATTGGAGCAGAAATGCTCATTAGATTGTGCTACTTTTTTGTTCAGAAAGTGTATAACCTCTACAAACACACTTACCATGGTTGCATCAATGGTAGCTATAGGCCTTGCAAATGTGCTTTTAAGAGAATGATCAGCTGAGGAAGACTATTTGCTCTTCCCTTCATCTTTGTGATCAGTGATGGGAACTGAATGGAGAAAGGGGAAGATGTATGTGAAGAGAAGGTTTGTGCAGGTTGATTTCTGGTAAGAAAGGAGTGGCAGTTGGAATATTCAGGAAGATAGCTCTGTATTTAGTATTAAGAGGGCTAGGCTGTTTTACTTTGAAAATTTTTAAATAAGGAAAAAGTGACAGAACAAAAAAAGTTTGTGTGGAAATCTGTTTTGTAATTAGGGAGGTTTGTATTGTCTTTATACAAAGAACTAAGCAGGGAACGTTCTGCATTTTAATAATTACAGGGTAAAAATGAGGGGAAAACAAAGAGGAAAATTGTGTAATTTATAGTATATCTCAGATCTTGATATGTCATACAGATCATTTTGAAACTATACCATTGCTGAGCTTTGCCTCTTTACTTATTTTGTGTAAGTAAAAGTGTGTATAACCTGTATAGAGACAATAGAGTCTGATATTTTCACTTTTGTGTTACAGTGACAAGATACTTTTGTGTTACAGTGTTGTCTCTGCAACACTGATTTGGTAGTAACATTTGTTCCCCTACCTAATAATTATATTTATAGATTCTTTTGCCCCCCTTTTGTTGAATTTTTGAGGATTTTTTGGCTTTTTTTTATCAGTAGGAATTATTTTTGATTTATAATTCCTTGAGTCAGCAAATCTGAAAGTGAATGGAATTTATTTTGTTCCTCTGTCCCATTTCTTGAGAGCATTTATGTATTGATTTCTACAACCATCACACTTGTACATATCTCGGTATCTTTCTAAACACATTGATATTTGAAATGCATAAGAAAGTGCTAGTTAGCTTTTCAGAAAATCGATACAGTAGGTTACAGTGGAAGCCTGCACAAGGAGAGTAAGCCTCTGAGGTCTACTGTGTAATTCCCATTCACTCAAAAAGAGCAGTACTAGACCCCTATATGAGAACTGGGGGTAATAAAGGAGCTTTAGTGTTCGCAAGTGCTGAAAAGTTTCATTGCCTCTATTTCTTTCATGTGTGGCTGTCAACATTATATTCATAACCCGAGGAATAAAATGACATGCTGAATACTACATGCTGAATGCATGAGCCGCTGGATTAACTAGTAACTATACCCACTTTTAGATTTTAATCCTTTTATCCACTGTTACTAAGTAACGGTTAAATGGAATGAGAAACTCTGGTTGGGCTGTATTTTAAGAGGGTTCCACCAATTTGAACTAGATTTGTCCTGTATAAAATATGATGGTTTTTTTTAATAGCTCTCTTTCCTGAAGTATTAGGACCAGGGAAACCTTATTCAGTGACCATAGCCAAAGTGTTTTATTTGTGTAACTACGAATTTTGTGTAAATAACTTTATGCTTTTTAAAAGGAAGGGAGTGGGGAAGAGAGGGGAAGATAAGAAAGATTTGCATTGGGACCAGAAAGTGGTGTATTAGTAGCAGGGGGCATTGGATGTCTGTGAAAGGGTGAAGCAATCCAAAGAGCAATAGCTACCATTGAAGCAACAAAGGCTCTGATTTTAACAAATAATTTTGTTCTTCTGGCACAGAGGTATACTGCTTAAAGAGTTTATGTACCATCCAAAAAAAGAATGCAGTTCTTACTTCCAGGAGTTCTGCTCCTTTTAAAAAATGTTAGGACGAGTTTTCTTTTAATATTCTTTTGGTGTACAAAGATTCCAGTTGCCTAATGTAGTCAGCCAGTTGGAGCCCAGAGAATTTCTTCAGCTGACATCTCAGTTAGATTTAAGTCTCAGTTAGATTTAAATCTGATGCATTGTGAGCATTGAAATGAGGAAGAATTTTTTACTCTATTTTTTCACTTCTGTAGAAAGTACTTAAATTTTAGTGTGTCTTCTCAGACACCAAGTGTTGGCCTTTGGGCTGAAGATAAAATGTCTTTTTTCTCATGTATTGTTATTTCCATTCAGGGCCTTACTTTTTATTCCTTGTGCTTTTTCAAGGTCTTCTAAATTCAAAAGCATAAGGGATTGAATGCTGAAACTCCTGGTGGTATTTCCTGGGAGTTTAGCTCTACTTGGTAAGTGAGAAAAAAGAAGTTACCCTGTTTCTAAGGGAAGTTTTCTGTTATGCATTCCTTTGGATGGTATAGTGCCATGTGCTCTTGCTTTTTAATGAATTAAAAAATGCACAAAGCAAAATAGTTCAGTATGTACCATTATGTAGTGTATGTAGAAAGATATTCATGGAACTTATATGTTCAAGGCAAATACAAGACTAAATCTTTAACACAGCACTTTCTTTCAAGATTTTTGGTAGATGTGTATATGCAGTTTCATAACTAATGGCAGCAAGTTGACACATGCATTTAACCAGACTCCTGTTAACATAGTTAGTAAATATGGTACTATAATCATACAGTGTTAATAAAAAAATGCTAAAAGCCATGTTTTTAATTAAATGGTCTCAGTGTATCCAACAGTATCATTAAAAATTTAATGTTTCTTTCTTGGTTTTTCTATTAGTGAAAATTTTTACTTTTTTCTTGAAACTGTAAAGAAGCATCTGAAGGTCTGCAGTATATAAATGAATCTTTCTATAAATTCTTTGTATAGTCATTTTCTCTGCTCTTCAGATACCACCTCTTTCAGAATTATAATAAAATTACAAATGTGGAATTCCATAACACAGTGTGACATGGCCATCTGTTCTGAATGAAAGTTACCTTCTGGTATTCAAAACCAGCTAATGAGTAAAACGTTCTTCGTGAATTAAGAATAGGTTGCGTGCTGGGGTTTAGTTTTAAGAAACACTTGAGATTTATTTCAAGGACTTGACTTTGCATGAGTCTGTGTTAGTGGTTCAATTCAGTTAATTGAACTGAATCCCTAGTTAATTTTTGGTTATAGTGATATAAAAACACCTTTTGCCTGTTTTGCGTATTTCAGTGTAAGAAGGAAGAATATGATGTCATCTTCTGAGATGCTGTACCCATTTAACTGTATCTCTACAGTGATTACACTGGAAAACCTTCCAGAGGAGCATGAGAGGGGGTGACAAATCTTACCCCTAGCTGAAATAGGTTCAAAATTAGTGCATCAACCATACATTGAAGGTTGAGTAATATACATGCTTTATCAGGATTGTTTTGGAGACTGATATGTCATGCTGATATGTCTGGTATGTCATGCCGATGCCTTTTCTAGGCTGGCAGGAATTTTTCGTTGAGTGTACTTTATTGTCTTTCATCACTACAGGCTGTTGTGAGGTTTATGCGTGGGCGTAATGCAATGGAGTTACTAATAAAAAGTATTAGTTTTTATGGGAATGTTTTATAATGTGGAACAGATGACAAGGATGCAAGAGCAAAATGAATCTTCCGTGTCAGGAGTCCAGTCTCTCCTGTTAAACTCCTGTCCTTGAACTTGGATGCCATTGTGCACATGTGTGCTGCTCTTCAGTGCATTTGAAGATGTCTGTTTGCTCTAGTGGATGAAAATATGCTTTCAGTATTCATCCTACATGTATTCACAACTGGTTTATAGGCAGTGGTTCTTATGCCAGCACTATCTCTTAGCATGAATAACTGTTTTCTCCCTGAGGTATTTTTAGCAAGAGATCTGACCCACCTTCAGTCCCTCATTCTTCCTTTGGCAAGATTAAACAAGTCAGCACTCAGCCCTTTTGTGTTTTTGTCTTTGAAAGGGTCAGTAAAAAAATTTCTTTGGAGGGACTTTTTAAGTGAACAGTGATACTCCATAAAAAGGGGCATAACCTGTTGCCTTGTGATTTTTTAAATATTTTTATTAGAAAAATCTTGAAACAAGAAAACTTGGCCCACCAAGATAGGCAGAGTAAATCCCTCATCTGCTTTTGCTGTTTACACCTAGCACAAAGATTACAATAGTGTAAACTACATCAGGCAGCGTGCACAAAGGACGAGTAGCTAAAGAAGTTCTTAGTAGCTTAAGTCAGAAACAGGAAGCTTGCAGGAGTCCTAGCAAATCTGGCAGAGTACTAAGAAGGCAAAGGGGCGCTTTTTAGAGAATTTAAGGATCTTGCTGAATAACTGAGAAGGAATTTGCATTGCATGTCACTGTAAGGGATATCAAACCGGAACTATTCCCTTTCTTTGAAGACATTTAATGTCTCATAAAGCAGAAATGTTTGGACCCATTTTAATGTTTTAGTATTTGCAGAATCATAGAGTGGTTGAGGTTGGAAGGGACTTAAGGAGGTCCTCTAGTCCACCTCCCTTTTTCAAAGAGGGTCATCAAGAACCATTTGCCCAGGACCATGCCCAGACAGCTTGAATATCTCCAGGAATGGAGTCTCCACAATCTCCCTGGTCAACCTGTCGTAGTTCTCAGTCACCCTCACAGTAACAAAATGTTTCCTGGGTAACTGCCTGTGTTTGTGCAAATAACCTCTTGTCCTGTCACGGGGCACCACTGGAAGAGCCTGGCTCTGTCCTCTTTGCACCCTCCCATTATTTATACATATTGATAAACTCCCCCTTGAGCCTTCTCTTCTCCAAGGCTGTACAGTCCCAACTCTCTCAGCATCAGTTTTGTGTCACTGACAGACTTGCTGAGGGTAAACTCTGCCCCATCATCCATTCAGGTAATTGATTAACATTAAACAGGACTGGACCCAGTATGGACCCTTGGGGTAGACCACTGCTTACTGACCTCCAACTAGACCTTGCACTGCTCATTAACACTCTCAGTACCCAGCTTTTCAGGTGCTTTTCAATCCACTTTACTGTCTGCTTATCTAGCCCCTATATCAACACCTTGTCTAGGAAGGTGTTACGCAAGACAGTGTCAAAGGCCATACTGCAGTCCATGAAGACAATGTCCACTGCCTTACCTTCATCCAAACCAGTCATTTCATCAGAGAAGGTTATTGGGTTTATCAAGGATGACAGAGAGGGTAATCAGGCATTGGAATGGGCTGCCCAGGGAAGTGGTGGATTCTCCGTCCCTGGAGGTTTTTAAGATGAGACTGGATGTGCCATGGTTTAGTAACTACAGGTGGTAGTGGATCAAGGTTGGACTTGATGATCTCAGGGGTCCTTTCCAACTGGCTAATTCTATGATTCTGTGATTCTATGATCTCACCATGTCCGCATTTATCTTGCCAAGTTCCCATTCTAAGTTTCTCCCAGGGTCATATAAATTTGGTTCCCTACAAGTGACTGAGAAACAGATTAAGTAGAAAAAGATATCACTACTCCATAGGTTCTGACAGTGTCCCATTGGTGCTCTTCTTAGGGTCTTCTCAATGGTTGCAGACTGTATCTGTTGAGTGGTGGGGAGAAAGAGTCCACCTAACTCCCATTTCATGGGGTTTATAACGTGCTAGGTGGAAACGCCCCCTGTACCTCCCCTGGATGATGTAATACTGGATCATCAGACATTCCACAAGTCTTTGACACCTTCTAAGATGTTGCAGCTGTCAGTGTAGTTGAATTAATCATGGCCCTTCATGGTTCATCATCCGAGATGAACCAGGCTCAGGCTAGGTGTGAATGTCTTTGGTGCTCCCTGGAGTGGTTTTCACAGCTGAGTCATCATGTAAGGGAGGACATGGGCATGATAAGAAGGAGTATCCCACCTTGTAGGATTTTCATCTTATCAGCCTCTTCCCTTATCTGGAAATCCAGTTTGTGTCTTCAGGTATGCATGCCCTTCTGGATTGGCATACTTGGGCAGTTAGTACCACCTTATCTCAAGGTCCTTTCACAGTCCAAATTAGTAGGCATATTCAAGGAGGAGTGGACTTCTGTAGACTAGCATCTGTTTCTTTGCAATTTTCTACAGTAAAGAAAAGTTTTTTGGTTTTTAAGCCGTTAACCATTTCAGTCTCTGACAAGGGGATGGCTCTGACTCCCAAGTTATCCCTAGGATTTCTGCTCACGTGAACAAGGCATTCCCTTTCTACATGCTTTTGTGTTAGATATTTACAATGACAAAAACTCAATAGAAGTGTTGGGTTTTTTGCCTTTTTGTCTCCTGATCTGACCTGTTGCCAACTGGTGGAATGATACAGCCACAAAGCTCTAGTGATGCAGCTCACGGTAGCACAGCCCCATGGAGGAGGTTGCCTGAGCAGCTCTTTGGGAATTGTTACTCTGTTCTGCTACTCAGTACCTATTTGTGATGGACACCAGAGCAGCACGAGGAGCACCAGCAGGACAGCAGCAGACACAGGAGAAAGGGCACACATGGAGAAGACAGAGTTTGTCTGAACAGAGGTTGTTCTCCCACAGCCGACTTTGGGCTTGCTGATAGGTGTCGGCAAGGCAAGCAGTGACAACCGCATGCAGCCACTCTCTCACTTCCGCATAGTGAGGTGGGGAGAGATTTGGAAAAGTGGGAAAACTCATGGGTTGAGATAAAGACAGCGTAATAGGTAAAGCAGTAAGCTGCATGCACAAGCAAAGCAAAACAAGGAATTCATTCATCATTTCACATAGGCAGGCAGGTGTTCAGACATCTCCAGGACAGCAGGGCTCCATCTCGTGTAATGATGAGTTGGGAAGACAAGCACCATCACTCTGAATGTACACCCCTTCCTCCTTCTGCCCCAGCTATATGTGCTGAGCATGACACCATATAGTGTGGAATATCCCTTTGGTCAGTTGGTGTCAGCTCTCCTGGCTGTGTCCCCTCCCAGCTTCTTGTGCACCCCAAGCCTCCTCACTGGTGGGGTGGTGTGAGAGCCTGTTAGGATCCACTGTTAAAGTCCTCTGCCCAAATTAAGGTGCAAATAAGATGAAATGCCAGTTCAACAATACCTGCTTTATTCCTAACATTAGGTGTATAGGGGAAAGAGAGAGAGAGAGGAGAGGGGGGAGAGGAGTGCGAGCAGAAGATAGTTAGCAATGTGCATCCAGTGGTGTACAATTAGTCCCTCCGTGTGCCAGACTGCTTCTTGATGGTGGGGTCCCACTGTTTGAAATTACATAACTTTTCTAATTTTATTAATGGTCTTAATTAACCTTTTATTTAGTTGTTTTAATTAATCATAGGTTGTGTGTTAGACCTTAAATAACTTTTAGCCAGAATATAGAAAACAGTTGTCATAACAACTTTTGTGAGAATATAGCTTGGGAAAAGTACTAAAACTGTAAGTTTTGTTAATCTTGATATGCTTCAGTGAACAAAGGCCATGAGAGAAAGATGTGTTGTTGAAGCTGGACATTTGGAAATAAATATCATTTGCATAAAGCAGCAGATAACGAAGAAGACTAAAAATGACTCGATATTTGTTTCGGAAAATCCCTACTGAGACTAAAAGACTAAAAGTATGAATTAATTAGCATAAGCAACGAGAGATTAAAAACCAGTAGTGGATAGAATACTAATTAATGATGAACATCAATTTCTTTGTTTGTTAAAAATGTATAATTAGGTGAAAAAGTGATGTATTGGTGTCTGTATGGAGGCAGGATTTTTGTCACTCACGTACACACCCAGTGCTGCAAATAAAGCAATGCCTTGCTTTCTGACACTAAAAAGACAGTATTAGAGGGTTCTGTTATTCATAACAATTTTGGAGGTATTCGGCAACACCACTGGCTTTGTGGTGGTAAGGTCCCACTCGGTTCACACCCTGAGTCACTTTTGTACCTGGCATGGGAGGTGAGGGTAGTAGTGGTTTTCAGTTCCTCATTAGCAT